GAAAAATCGATCTAAAAATTTTAAAACAACATTTTTATAGGTAACTCGACGAGCTCTATCCAACCATGTCATCAAATCGGCAAACAAAAATTTTGCTCCAATTTCGATTTGCCGGCACCTTACGTTTTCTCGATGTTTTGCAGAAATTACTGATTTTAAAGTGATTTCATCTTATGAAATAGTGGAGAAAAAGACGTATCTCTGTCTCCTCTTTCGATTGGTAAAAACTGTAGATCTCTAGCTTTTTGAGTTCTTGAGTTATTCAAAAAACAGTGGAGCACACCGTATTTTGAAACGGACAATAGAAAGTTTTTCTTCATTGAGAAATGTGAGCTTGTATTTTGGCTTCTTACAGCAGAGTATGAATATTTCCCATGCAAGTCATTTCCAGTTTTGTCTATGTTTTCATATGTTTGAGCGAAATATACAGGGTGGTCCAAAAGTCACGCACCCGAAAAACAATCAAATATCTCTGTTACGGCTCGAGTAAACGGGCTGATTTTTTTATCACTAGTAAACGCATGTTCACACTTCATATCCATAAAGACAAGGCTGGAGAGAATCTTTTTTAACCCATTGGGGACGGGAGGACCATATATGGCCAACGGTTGTAGATCGGACCATAGCTGACTTGAATATGCCTCTTGTGATACTTTTATGACGTATAGACTAGTACAGAATATGAATCTTCTACTTTCAATGAAATGTGACACTACTGCCTGTTGTGTCCTCATTATTCTTTCTATTTTTGTAGATGGACTCGTATTTACTATTCTCTTTCGTTACTGTTCAGCTGAAAAGACATTGATCAGTCGAATTCGTATATGTGTTAAGTTTTTCCCAACAAGTTATTATATGTTACTAGTTGGATTTTTCCAACATGCTCTTATATATCATATTGTTACGTGCTGCCTTTCTTGAATGTATTCTATCACCAACTCTTTGTAATACATCACACATATTCATATATAACCAGAACGAGAGGAAGAGAGAAAACAATAGAGAGAGGAAGAATGAGTACGACGATGAAAGGAATAAAATGGCAGAGGCAGAGAAGCGATATACGTGACGAAATGTCATGACTCAGATTTTCACCGCCTAACAATATGTAGGTTTTTCCCAACTTGCTATCACATGTCGTATATTGGATTTTTTCAGCATGTTCTCTTCATATATGCTATTGCTCATCTCATTTCGTGGGTTTTTCATCTTCGTCTTCGTCTTCTTCTCTGTTGTTGCTCAGTCGACGCTAAGTATTGTACAATAAACCGCTGACTCACGTTTCTACACACACAACATTTACAATTACATCATCATTCATCATAATATGCACAATAACGTCGGACTTTGTATTTCAGATTGCTTTCGAGATTATCACACGCTGAAATATTTTTAGACATTCGTTTTTTAGCATCGTCTGAATAAATATATCATTCAGCGTTTCAAAAAAAATTAATTTTTTCTCAACAGTAACCCCGTCCTCAAAGAGTTAAGTACCACTATTGACTTCAACAAAAGAATTTTTACTTTTTCACAGATAGAAGAAAAAACAATATAGAGGATGGTGTAAAAGTCATTTTACCGAAAAAACATTGAATATCTCCGTTACGACTCGAGCAAACGAGCTGATCTTTTTTCTAATGATATAGGCATGTTCGAACTTTATATCCATAAAGACATGTCTAGAAAGACCCTTTGTTAACAATATTGGTTTTTTTCCTATCTGTAACAAAGTAAAATTTTTGTTGAGATCAATAGTGGTACTTAAGACCAAGCTCAATAGAAGAGACAATCAATATCAACAAGTATCATGATCAGCTGAAGTAACATGAGTCCATGTTTTCTATATATACATGTAGACAACAATTGTTACAAGCCATCGGTCAAAGATCTAGTTCAGATGAAAAATAAAATCGATAATAACATCAAAATAAATTTTATATGATGTTTTTATATACTTTTTCTAACACGATAGCTGTGTGTATTACATTTGTAAATAGTTATTTTGTACACCTATTAGAGACAAATTTTACATGAAATCAAACTTTAATGGATATAGAATGAAACTATACAAAGCTCACGAAAATTGTTTAAACTGTCAAAGAAATATTCAAGTTTCTTTCTCAACCAAACTTTTGGGATACTCTGTGAATTGACAGTGAATATCGGTTAAAAAAAATTAATTCTCTTTTTTATTTAGGTGAATCTCGAAAATCAATCATAACGCTATTTTTTATTTGAAATATGAGTAATACAATTTTTTATTTAGATTCAAAGCAACAGTACCTGTAACGGTAAATAGTATTTTAAAAATTAAATATGCGCTTTTTTCTTATTTAGATGAATAGTAGCAATAATCAGAATGGTAACTACTTTTAATATTTAATAATGTATTTTATATTTAGGCTAATCACAAGGACAACTGCAAAAGTAAGTATTTTTTAAAAAGAAAATTAAGTCGATTTCGATATTCACAATACAGGAGGTTACCGTTCCTTGAACAATTCTTGGAAATGTTTTGGAGACTTCCTGAGGATATGTTAAGGTATTCTTGACTAGGCCAGTAAGTAGAACACTAAGAGTTCTTATTTAACTTTCTGACATCACAGTACATATATACTCCCTTACTAGAAGATCTCGGGTCCTCTAATGCGTCCCAGTGTATAAAATTCCCAAAGACTCTTCTAATTCGACTTTTTGATAAAGTTTTCAAAAAGATCCTTAAAAAAATTAGCTTTTATATTTCATATCACTACAGGGTATCCCAAAAGTCATCTTACACTTCAAAAATCTTGGGTTTCTTCGCCTTCTTTTGATCAGATGGACTGATTTTTTTACCACTAACAAAGTGTTATTCACAGATCATGTTCATAAAAGAAACATTGTCAAAAGTTGCTTTGAAATATGTATAACTAACTTTAACAAAAAATGGTAACCTTTCATGAGTTATGAACAACCAATACTGCAGCTGTATCAATAAAATCTTGCCTTTTACGATTGAAACTTTTAAGATACAGTGAGTAACAAGACATGCATCTGTGGTGTAAGTATGAGATCAAACGACACTCGTGCGAAAAATTGATTGAAAATAATTATATGCCGTTTATTCTTAAGTAAGGGAACAAATCTCTTGTTTTGTCATAGCTAGTAAAAGGTTAAGTTCTTTGTTAAAGCCAGTTATACATATTTCAAAAAGAACTTTTAACAGTGTTTCTCTTATGAATATGAACTATGAATACTCTTTTATCAGTGATAAAAAAATTAGCCCATTTGGTCTAAAGATGGTCGAGATGTTCAACCTTTTTGGAGTGTACTGCGACTTTTGGAACACTCTGTATTTTCTCGAAAAAACTATCTGGTAAACATGCAATGATGAAACACGTACTTCTCTACTCAGACTGTTTTAAGCATCTGAAGTTTTGCCCTACTAATGCATGAGTTACCACTGAGACTCTTCGTACAGCTATTAAATTTGTTCAAATATACAGTTCTGTATTTTCTAACTCGAAATATTTGAAAAATGCTGTCAGTGCGCGAAAAGATCGATAGTAATTGATGTGAAAATAGTTGTGTTCCATCAACATATGAGTTTATTTTGACCAATCAAGATGCTATTGGTAAACAACAGAGTCCTTTATAAGAAAGTTTCACATAAAATTAAATTAGATACTTGTCACTTCGTGACATTTCCTGATTTTCGAATAATAAATATTGAACTGAATCAAAATTTTTGACTATTTGTATGAGATCCGAACAATCAGATTATTGTTAACAAGAAGAACTCAAAAGAATGTCGACAAGTGAAAAGCTGTGATGAATCCTGCTCGAGTAATTTCAGCCGTTGTTGAATCTGAGAACTGTTTACTATCTTAGGCATTCGTGACAAAGTGAAATGCACGTGTAAAGCTATATTCGCTTCTTCTAAAATCACTGAAAGATTTGAAATGGATACAGTCAACTATTGTAGCTAAATCAGAGGAGGACCTCAACAAGAATCCAACAGAAGGATGCATCAGTAGCTGTGACCGTTATTTAACATACGATGAACCCAAATTCACACCCAGAACCACAACTTATTTCCTGAATGACTCATAGTTCAAAAAAAAAGTCGGAAATCGCTAGGAATCCTGATCAATCCTCTTTCGAATCCCGTCAAAATCTTTGAGTTTCGTGGCTACACTCTTTCTTCAGGACTTTGTCGTTCTCTCAAGAGAAAAGAGCGAATCCTTGAATAGTCCTGATTGGATCAGTCAACGATCTGGAACAGAACCACCAAGGATTTTCGCTGAAGTAGTACAATTTTGATCCCTGTCAGAATTCGCAGCTGTTTACAGACAAATAAAGTGATT